ACACGCACACTTATTACAAAATTCGTCCTCTCGATGGAGGGTCCGAATAAATAATACATGCCAACTAATTAACTAACTAACAAGCTAATTAATTATTACATAACTGAATTGAATAACTGGCTACAACTAATTATTACAAAACTTAATTAATTAACAAATTAAATTACAAAACCAAAATGCAAACTAACAAGTAAGCAATTAAACAATGCTGCCTCGGCAAGTTGAAGAAGGTGAACATATGCACAATACTAATACATGCAACAACTAAGCATACACAATGCAAAGCAACCTAGACATGCAAACATGCGATAAACCAAGCATGCAACAACGTACAAGGTGACAAGCATGCTATGACATGCAAAGATGGGCTTAAACCAAGATGGGCAGACCTCAGCTATGCCCAAATCAGTGGCCATAATGCTAAGATGAAGGCACCGAAAACACATACAAGCGTGCATGCCAATTGGCTCACCAATTGAGGCATAAAGGTGCAACTCTCAAGAACACCTAAAGAGTGAAAAGCATGGAAGTGTAACAACACTAAGTGCACTGAAACAAGATGATAAACGATGCCAAATCATTTAAACAACACAAGTAAAGCATGCGAAGGTCCTTAAAGCATGGAGCTATCAAAGAGGACTACAAAGAAGGCATGCAATACATGGCACAAGTGCATGGACAGAGCTTGATTAGGTCTAAACGAAGACTTAAACATGCTAAGATGAAGGCTCAAAGGCCTAGGCATGCAAACATACAAGCAAAGCCATAAGTAAGTCAACAAATGCTCAATCCTCAAAGGCATTCAAGGCATGATTGAAGTGGGAACATGACAATGCTATAGGCTCTGAAATGAAGTATTAAGTGATGCCAAATCATTTAAATAGCTCAAAGATAGCATGCATGAGTCAACAAAACACAAAGCTAGCAAGGCCAATTGCACTACAGCTATACAAAGCATGAAGGATATGGCAAAGGCAACCCAAAATAGTCCTAGAACATGTCAAAATGATACTAAAACATTCATGGAGGAGAGCTAAAACAAGCTAGCATGAAGGGCATAAGGCATGATGCATACAAGGCAAATAGGGTGGATTACACTACACCTATTAAGGCCAAGCATGGGATGACTCAACCAACGAAAATTAGAGTTATATCATGGCATAACAACCCCAAAAATCCACTGAGATGGCATCCCAAAGACCTAAGCATAGATGCATGCACAGTGATCCATTTACGAGGCACAAAACACAAACTCTCCAAGGCATTGATAACATGTCAAATGCAAGTGTGTGACCACATTACATGGACTGAAATAACATTTCAAGTGATGCCAAAGCATTGAAATAGGTCAAGTAACACATGCTAGTGGACTTGACACATAAAGCTAACAAGCTAGAATGTACTATAGCTATACAAAGCAAGTCATGCATGACAAAAACGACCAAAATCAGGTTTTAAACATGGTAAAACATGAACAAAGTCTTCCTAAAGTTAAGCCAAAAGCATGCTAGAATGACATGTTAAAGCATGAGACATACTAGGCTAATTCATGAAAATGCTCTACAAGTGCATGGAGCATGCAAAGACTAACCAAACCAAACCAAACCAAAAAATAGGTATGACATGGCAAAACATCACCAAAAACCTACTGAAATGGAAACAAAACAAGCTAAAATGACATGTCAAAGCATGAAGCATATAAAGCTAGTTTAAGTGATTTACACTACAAGTGTATTAGGCATGCATGGAGTGACAAAACCAACCCAAAAAAGATCTAAGTTATGGTAAAACATCACCAAAAACCTACTTAAATGGAGCCAACACATGCAAGAAAGACATGCTACTTTGATGAGCCGCAAATGGGATTACACTACACATACATGAAGCATGCAAGGAGTGACCAAACCAGCTATGGAAAGACTTAAGGCAGGTCCTAAAAGTCACAAAAAAGTTCCTGAACAAGGCCTTGAAAGTAAAGAGATACATGCTCCTTTAATAGGCCAATAATACAAGCAAACAAAAACAAGAAGAGGGGGGTCACCCCCTCTGATTTGAGGCCTCAAAACCACATTCTTACCACAGAAAACCCACTGGATTTCAGTGGCTAGAAGGCCAAACAAAGACTAGCTCAAAAGCCTTAAAGCATGGTACAAAACAAGGACAAACAAGGCATACAAGAGGGTTGTACACCCCTAACACCAAAAAGACCTCAAACAATCATCAAAAGAACTTAAAAACAAGACTTTTTTCATTTGAAAGAAAGGCCTAAAACAATATGCAAGGATAGCCAAAATGAGGTACAAATAAATGCTAAAAAGGGGAATATACTCACCCTTGAAGATTACCTTCGAAACCAACAACTTCAGAGGCTAGAAACCAAGTTTTAGAGCTCAAGTAACACCCCCAACAACCTCATCCCAAAGATGGTGGTGTATCTCTATGTGTTGTAGTGCAAAAGTGCAAGAAAAATGGACTTTAGAGCATAAACAAACACAATACAGAGTGAGAGAGAGAATGAGAAATATATATAGAGAGAGAGAGAGATCAACTCCTTCAAAACTTTCTTCAACCTCTGATATAGAGGAAGGCCTCCTCCTTATATAGAAGAATGCAAGAATAAGCTTGTTAAACAAGCTTGGCAAGAGCTTCATCCCTCCATATACGTGTATGGAGGGGAAAGCAGTGAAAACCAGCTGGCTCAAAAGATCTGGCGTGAAACCTGGTGAGACAAGGGATCTGCCGGCCATCAGTGGTGGCCGGCGGTGGCTCATTGATGGCCGGCAAGCTCTATCAATGGCCGGCAGGGCAAAGTTGATGGCCGGCAGGGCCAAAAAGTGGTCGGTAGTGCTTCCAAAAAAGCATGCAGAAAGGGCCAACACACGGTCCAAGAATGGGGCAGGAAGGATATAGGGTTTGGAAAGCTCAAACCTGTGACGTTCCGCCGTGACAGTCGAGTTCTCGGTGAGCAATCGAACTAGTTTTTGGGTGTATCTGCAAGCACAACCAAGTCTTGAGGACAGTCAAAAATGGAGTGTCTACAACCAAGTCTTGAAACCAGCTGGCTCAAAAAATCTCCCCATGTGCTAGATTTGGGGAGATTTTTGTTGATTTTATATATAGATATGAAGATATTTGTGTATAAAATTATTTATTTAAGAAATGTACAAATATATATATGTATATATGTGTGTAATGGTACTAGTTTGGGGTCAAAATGTGATTTAAAAAAAAAATATGAGGGCATTGGGTTTAATTTATGAATTGAAACATTTATTTTAGTGTAGACTTAAATTAAATTGGGGTTAGAGAGTCTAATTCGGTTTGGATTTGTTGTTTTGAACAAAAACGCAATCAACCGACGACTGTGATAAAGGCCGGAAAAGCCTAGGGTTTCCAAGTGGTAATTTCATATTTAGGGGGTCAATTAGAGTATTAGAAATTATTTCTAATTTTTCGAAACCGATTAGGGTTTGCGGTTTTTTGTTGGCGCATGTATTTTGATCCTAGGATTGCAATTAATTAAGAAACTGACGGACTTCAAGTAGATAATTTGAAAGTAAGGGACTTTTAAGAAATTAAAATTTTCAGGGCCTCACAGAAAGGGTAAGACCATGTGGCATTATCTTTAATCCAGAGATCTTGTTATCATAGAGGCTTTTTGTTAACAATTTGGAGAGGATGTCAGCTACCAAAATAAAAAAATAAGGAGAAAGAGAGTCTCATTGCCTTAACCCCCTAGTCGGAATAAAACATGCCTTCTTCTCCCCATTTACGACCATAGAGAAACTAACTGTTGAGACACACTGCATAACCCACTGAATCCACTTCGGATGAAAGCCCATCCTCCGCAACATTGCCTATAGAAAGTCCCACTCAATCTGGTCATATGCTTTATTAAAGTCCAACTTAATTGCTATATACCCATCTGCCCCATTTTTCTTTAATTTCAAAAAATGAAAGGCTTCATGGGCCACCAAAATATTGTCTTGTATCATCCTTCCTAGCACAATGGCCGACTGGTTTGGAGTAATCAAACTCCGCAGAATTTTCTTCAAACGGTTTGCCAAAATCTTAGTAATAATCTTGAGGATAAAATTTCACAGGCTTATGGGGCGAAATTGAGATAATTTCACTGGATTACTGACCTTCAGAATTAAAACCAGATTTGTTTGATTGATCTCTTTAAGGAGAAAACCAATTTGGAAAAAACTCTAGACCGCTTTACACACTTGTACACCAACTTCAGCCCAATACTGTTGATAAAAAAACCCCGAGAATCCATCGGGGCCAGGAGATTTAGTAGGTCCCAATTGAAATACAGCAGTGAGAATTTCAGCCTCACCAACTGGAAGAATCAAAAGTCTGTTCATGTCATCCGTAATTGAGGGTTCAATAACCGAAAGGGCTTCCGCAAAATCTCTCTCACCAACACTTGTAAATAACTCCGAGAAGAACCCATACATATGATGATTTATATCCTACTCTGAATTTAGCCACATCTCGTCCTCAGATTGTAATCGCAAAATCTGGTTTCATTGTTGCCGTTGAATCATAGAAGCATGAAAAAACGCTGAATTTTTATCCCCATAATCGAGCCACCGAATTTGCGACCGTTGGTGGAGGTACATCTCTTCTCTTGCTAAACACTCTCCAACTCAATCTTAAGTTGTCCCCATAGTCGTAAATTTTCATTAGTTGGGCTTTGGGCTTAGAGTTTGGACAACTCAGATTTCAGCTAGGCAATACAGACTTTATTATTTTCGAAGGTCAATTTACTCCAATCTTTAAGTCCAAACTTACACTCCTTGAGCTTGTGCACTAGTTGAAACATGTTGGAACCATTCACATCGAATCCCTACTTAGAGCGGATAATTTCCACACAATCTAAACTAGTAGACCACATAGTCTCAAACTTAAACAGTCTAGGAATTTTCTTGAGGCACACAGCAGTTAAGAATTATAGGACAATGGTCAGAACCAACTTGAACTTCATGAAAAACTTAGGCGCAAGAGTAGAGAGCTCTCCAATCGACTGTAGCCACCGCTCTATCTAGTCTCTCGCGAATATTATCCTCACCCAATTGATTATTAGACCACGTATACAAGGCGCCATTAAATTCCAAATCCATGAGAGCATAGTCCGATAATAACTCTACAAAAAACTGAAGTTGACTCATGCAACATTCCACTCCTCCTTGCTTTTCCCCACTGGCCCTTATCTCGTTAAAATCTCCAATACATAAAAGAGGGTATTTAATCCCTGAAACCATCCTCTTAAACTGGCCCCAAATTCCCCTGTGATTTCCTCTTTGAGGAGGAGCATACACCAAAGCAACAGCCCAACTGCACACTCTGTCAGGGGGAGACACCACTCCTCTAATAAGATTTTTAGATTGAAATCTTAAGTCAATAATCATTTCATCAGTCTACCATAATGCTAAACCACCCGATAAACCCTCTGGTTCCACATAACATTTATGGGAGAAATGCAAGCTCCTTCTAACCCATTCTAACCTTGCAGCTTTATTTTTAGTTTCCATGAGAAAAACCACTGTGGGGCAATGAGTTGAGATCAACCCTTTAAGGATCTGGACTGTTAGGGGTCGCTCCATCCCCTGAAAATTCCAACTAAGAATCAACATGGCTCGTGTTGCTGCTTCAGGCCAGCCAGTAGAGCCCATTTCTTAGTAACTAGAGAGTCCTCTGAAGGGAAAGTGCTAGGCACTTAGGAACAACACTCATCAACCAAAGAAGAGGAACAGACCAAAAGGGATTAAGCTTCCTTTGCATCAGTGGATTCAACTAAAGCCACCTCCACACGGAAGAGCCCTTTATCTCCAGATCTTCGTCTTTTTCCTACTATCTTTCTAACATTTTCCCTTGTGCCAGAACTGGGTACCACCGAAGGTATCTGAGTGAAGGTAGAAGGGAATTCAATAGTTTTGATAGGGGTAGTAGTTAATCCATCACGTTTAAAGAGTTTGGGTTGACTGCCATCATGAATATCACTTTCCTGGGCTTTCCTTTTTTCAGTGAAAGAAAATTAAAGACAGTAGACATGCATTCATCAATCACTCTTGTTTTCAAGTCTAGACGGACTGAACTGGTAGCAGGACTGACCTCTTCTATCTCTAAAGGGCCTCCACTATGGACCTCTGAATGAAAAGAAGAATCCTTGGTCATAGGCCCAATAGTATCCACAGGCTCAGTCACAAAATATTGAGGTCTAGCTTGCATATCAAAGCCTAAACCAATAAGGCCCACTCCTTACTTCCATACTAGGCCCCTCAGCAGCCTTAACCGATTTAGACCTGCCCTCAGCTGAATGAAAATTCAAAATTCCCACACCTGAAATTGTAGGTTGCTTCTCATGAGTATCTGTCTCTTGCCCTTGATGCTCAGCTGTCTTCACCCTCTCTGTTAGGGCTTTGTAAAATACTGTCCAATCCGCTAAAATCGTATCGATCCGCATCTATTCGCACCGCTCTAATCGCTAACTGCGGTTTAAACTTTAAAATTTATAATCCACCAACCGAACCGCTCCGCTCCGCTATATTTAATACATATATATTTTTTAACCTCCAATGAAATATCAATGTAAAAATGAGTATGAGAGAAATTTAAGATATGAAATTTATTATAAATTAGTAGCTATATATATGAAAGATATTATGTAAAATTACTTTGTATTATATATCTAAAAAATATTATACAAATTAGTGTTATATATTTTACAAATGTATAATAATTAGTTAGAATATTCTTTAATCCGTCAAAAATCGCCTAAATCGTAATTTGCCAATCCGCTAATCCGCCAACCCGCCATTCAATTTATAAATTTACTCTCAAACCCCCCGACCCGCACTGCGCACACCCTTACTCTCTACTAGTTGCCCCAGTACTCCCACGTCAGGTCGTACAATCACGTTAGCCTCTGTAGCCGTTGCAGGCAGTAGAGGTTCTCCGTCACGCGCCCCTTCCCCACGCGCTACCACTGGAGGCACCGCTGAAAGTTTTGGCCCTTGTCGGTGTAACAGGGGCTTCACTCTAGCCTCTAATTTATCCATCTTTTTCCGGTTATATTCCACCGAAAAACCCAAGCTCCTTGCTGTCCCAGTCCGTAACTCCAGTCCATAACTAGAGTTCTGCCCTTCTTCTCGGCTAACAAACTTACAAACATTCCTGTCATGACCAATCCTGCAGCAATCGTAACAAAAATCTGAAAGTCTTTCATACTTGAAAGAGATCATAGTTCTAAATATCGGCCGATACGCTACGTATCGGCCGATACGTATCGGAAAAATGGGGTGCCGCGACGGATACAGGCCGATATATGACCAATCCTGCAGCAATCGTAACAAAAATCTGAAAGTCTTTCATACTTGAAAGAGATCCAAAGGTCCAACGATGTCATATGAGCATTCCCTCTCTGTTAAGGATGAAACCTCAAGGCAAAGGTTTAGTCACATCAATATCAACTCTAATCTGGAGAAAGTTACGGTATAGAAGGAGGCCATCACAATGAGCCTCTACCTTAATGAGTTGTCCCACTATGTTTCCAATGATTTCCCCATTGGCTTTAGTTAGCTTTTCCAAAGGGAGACCGTGGACTTGAACCCAAAAGGGGCATTTATTAAATTCCATATCAAATGCCGGAAGCCCAATCACTAATGCTGTGTTTGGTTGGGGGATTTGAGGAGGGATTTGGAAAGGAAAATGGAAAAGGTAGGTGAAATGAGAATAAAATATGCCTAAATTTCACATAGTTTCACACACCTTTTCCCTTTCCCTTTCCAAATCCCTCTCTAAATCCTCCAACCAAACATAACATAAAGGTTGCAGCACCATAAGAAAACCCATGATTGACCATGGCGCTTCCTGTAAAACCAACCTCTTATCTTCCTCATCGAAGGTAAACAAATACACATTATCATTCCAAGGGGAAATAGAGGAATATGCTCTTGCTTTCCAAGCACCATGAATAATGGTGGAGACAGCTTGTTTATTGAGTTGCTTTAGGGCCAAAATCTTCCCCACCAGGCACCGACGAGACATCTTCAATAGCCCCAGAACTATCTTCAAGGGAGATTGACTCGAGGTTGAACACAGAGTGAGAAGGACTTGCCATCAAAATGTGTATGAGCCATGGTCAAGAACAAAGAACCAAAACCAGAAAAGCACAAAACCAGACACACAGATACTAGAAGGAAGAGCGCAAAAGAAGATAGCACCTCAGAATGACGGTGAGAGCTCCTAGCAAGACCCGAGTGCTAGGGTGCAAAAGTAAATGATTTCAAAGCTCACCTCCTAGAATAAACCCAAAGAAACCCTCTCATTCTAGAGAGAGGATGGAACCAATCTGCTTCTTTTCTCACTCTGAGACAAGTAATTGGGTCTCATATGTATATATTGATGTGAATCTTATTACTCTGTGTCTTGGAGTAAAAAATAAAATAACGAATTAATTATGTGGTATTTTGGAGAGTTGATAAAAGTTTTTTTTTTTTTTTTTTTTTTTTGATTTTTTTGGCTTTTTTACTTAAAAAGTTGACTTTTTATGGTTTTCTTGTGACTTTTTTTTGTGTAAAAAAATTGAAAGGTCAAAAAGTTGACTTTTTATCATATTTCCAAATTGTCCCTATATACTGTATCACTCTTTTTTTTGTTATTATTGAAATTTTTTTATAATTGAGTGCACTTTATAGAATCTGAACTTCAACAAAGTCTTTTTTTTATTTATTTGGACAATTATGGCCTATTTTGAGAAGTGACTTAAAAGCTTCTCTCACAAAAAAAATAAAAAAAAAAATCAAGAAAAAGTGAAAAATCAACTTTTAACCATCTTTCTAAAACACCCCTCCATTGAGTGGAGGGGATAGCAAAATTAGGTGATCCAATTGTATTTGTTTTAATCATTTTAATAAATAAGAAAAAAGTTAAAAAAATATTATAGGATAGTGAAATTATATCAAAAAATAATTAAATTTAAAATCAAAAATTTTAAGACTTTTCTTAGGTGTGCCCTGCATATGGTATGCAAGGCATTTACACCCCGTAGTATTTTGCATTTACACCTTTTATGTATTTCCTTTTTTGAAAGTTTACACATTGGTGACCTGTTAAAAGGATCGCTTGACAGGTAAATTAATTAAATAATATAATATATTAATAATTTGAAATGTGAAAATATTTTCAGAAAAAGGTGTAACGTTTTTCAGAAAAAGATGTAACGTTTCAGAAAACAGGTATAAACTTTCAGAAATTGGTGTAAACTTTCAAAAAATGGTGTAGTATTTTGACGAAAAGGTATAAGTTTAGAAATTTTTCAGAAAAGGTGTAACGTTTCAGAAAAATGGTGTAAAATTAGTTTAGTGTAAATTTTATCAACAAATAACAGTTTAGTCGCTAAAGGTTGAAATCTTATTACCATCGACCCCCCTCTTCTCTGTTTCCCATCGTTTATTCTCTTTCACACAAACACGGAATAGTCACCACCAATCCTTACCCCCGCTGACCACCCACGCGTCCGTGGCCCCGGTGCTTACCGCCGTCTGACATCGCCACCGCCATGGCGACCACTACGGCCACCGCCGCTGCCGCAAATCAAAGGTTTTTTTCTCTCTCCTCTATCGATCTTGGTCTCTCTCTGTCGATGTCGGCCTCTTCTCCATTGATGTTAGTCTCTCTCTGTCGATCCCTGTCTATCTCGGTCTATCTCCAGCGATCTTCGTTTGTTTGTGTCGATCTCGGTCTCTTCTCTGTCAATCTCGGTCTGGCTGTCTCTGTCGATCACTGTCTATCTAGGTCTCTTTGTCTGTCGATCTCGGTCTGTCTGTCTCTCTCTCTCTCTCTCTGTGTCCCTTCCTCTATATTAAAAATGTCTCTGTTTAAGATTGACATACTTGGTTGAATTGGACTTGGAGTCGGTATTCCAAGCCCTCCCGAATTGGTCTTCTCTGAAACGGACTTCTACGAAGAGAAAGACCAAGGCCTCTGAAACGCCCCTTCTCTCTCACATTGACATACTTGGTTGGATTTAGGAACTTACACATTTTGTGAAAAAAACGGAACTTACTACTTTTGCGAAGTTACTTACATCTCTTGTGAAAACACTTACACTATTTGCGGAAGGCTACAGATTTGTCAACTAATTTATTTTGTAAAATTTACACCTTTGTCGTTGAAATAATTACTCCTTTTGTGAAAAGTTACTACTTTTGTAAACAATTTTATTAAAAAAATTTACAACTTTTATTGCAAGTTACACATTTTCTGAGAACAGAACTTACAGTTTTTGTCAAATAACTTACATCTTGTGTGAAAAAGTTTACACCTTCTATGGAAAACATGTTTTCATAAAGTTTACACCTTTTCTGAGAATTACTCCGTTTGTGAAACAATTTTTTTCAGAAAATTTACACTTTTTATTAGAACTTACACCTTTTGTGACAACTTACATCTTTTGTAAAAATATTTACACCTGTTATGGAAAATATTTTTGAATAAATTTACACCTTTTGTTAAAAACTTACACCTTTGCTGAAAGTTTACACCATTGGGGGAAATACTTACACGTTTTCTGAAAAGTTACTTCTTTTGTGAAATTATTTTTTCATAAAATTTACACATTTTATTGGAACTTACACCTTTTCTGAAAACAAAACTAACATTTTGTTACATA